ACTCGCATTGCGGGGTCCTGCACTGTTTGTGGGGCTCTGATGAGAAAACCCAAATCACAAAGGCCGAGACTCGGAACAATAAACCGTCCGGAGTCGTTCTTTCCACTCAAAAACAGAGGCCTGGGCTACAGACGACCTGGGCCGTCTCTCCCAGATGAGGGAGGACAGCGAGGGCTTCGCCAAGAGCTTCGGAGGCTTCCGGTTGGGTGCAGGGTTCCCCAGTGCGTCTACTGCCTAGAAATCATATACACGCCGAAAACAAGACCGTGCAAGTACTACTTATTGGGGTTATTGCTTGTACATAAGTCCTACTAGCCCTGTAGCTGAGCATAATAGAGGTCAGCCTTCCGAGGGCCTGGCAACTCACTGATGTGTTACTCCAGATGCTGAACCCTTCTAGAGGAAGCCCTTAGCTTGACAGAACAGATCCTACGAAGTCTTATACTGCCTTGAATACCAATCTACAGCAGCAACAAATACTTAGACCATCAAGGGTGGAGTGCATACGCTCCTTTCCCTATTCTGCTAACTCGAACCCATTTGTTTTGCCGAAGCTCTGGACTCGGTTCCTTGGACCGTAAACCTTGGAGCCTACACTGCTCTGCCGGTACCCCTAATTTGCAAACCTTACCCCAAACCGTAAATGGCAAGAGGCCGCGACAACCCGCTGCAGTCGCTGTTGGCCCACGCCGGCTTTGAGCGTCGGGACATGGACGGGACAAGCGGAAAGCCAGGCAAACATGAGTTCGAAGTTTGAGGGACCCTTTACAGCGTCTTAAACTCCCAGCTCTAATCAATCCCTGAACTCGCCAGAGCGGCCCCAAAGCAGAAGCAACTAAGATTTACTTTTACTTGGTTAACTGTACATGTGTTGTAGCACCACCGACCGATTCGCGCTGGTCACCACTCAATTCCATGCTCTGAGCAGGCGCCGTCTGGGTATTGGATCATACCAACCCTGCGATTCGCCTGCGTGCACTGACGGTGCGGCTTTGCCTGCGCCGCTTCGCAGAGTTGCAGAGGCCAGTAATATAGGTCAGGATGGTTTAGCTACTGTCAGTTGAGTTCGCGCGGTGGTGGCAGCATGGTTTCATATCTGGTTGTTCCATGTGAACTACGATCAAATGATTCTTTTGTCAGCAGAAGGGTTGAGTCGTTTGCACTGCCTGTTTGCAGACAAGATTGCCGTGTGACTCCTTCCACTCACCCCCACCGCCCCCACCCGTTAGCCCCGGCGGGAAACAGGCTGTTGGCTCAATCTAGCTCCTTTATAGCACAGCCACCACCGCGACACCACAACGAAGCCTTCGCCTCTTGGCAGGCTGCGGGGTACGCACCGCTGGGCGCAGTCAAGCAATGCTGCAGTGGTGCCGAAGCCGGACGAGGTCCGCTGCAAGGGCCGGATACGTTCCAGCCGGTTCGGCACTAATTCAGGTTCCATTCTCTGCAGATGGAGCTTGCAGGGCCATGGTTGTAGTAGACCCTGTCAATGAAAACTTTCTTGTGAAGGGAGCATATTATGGTGTTTCATACATGCGCAGCAGATTTCAGATACCAGGTTTATGTCAGCTCTTTGGGAACTTCCATTGACCCCTTTCTGGAAAGCTTCATCAGTAGGAATGTCGGCCGAAGCACAAGCTCTGCACTCTACAACTCCCCAGGCCCTACACGGCAAGGTAGTTTATGCATCTGCAAGGGATGAAGAAGTCAGGATTCGGCTGATTGCAAGTCAAGGATTGAGGTCCGGGAGTCTACATGGATTGAGTTGGGTTTCTAGGGCTTGCGGTGTGTGCGGACGATGTCAGGCGCGAAATCTAGGGAGCCGTGGAGGAGTTGATTTTGTTTCGATTGGTCTAGACATGTGTCAAAAAAGCACAATTATGGTGACTTGACCCGTAGTTTAAGCACTCGTGTAAAAACCTCTCATCAGCTCCTGAAACACTTTCGCAGTTCTCATGAGAAACTACGAAACATCTAAGAAATTTGCAGCACATGTCGTGCAGCACAAGCTTGTGAAAGTTGGCATGGCCCTTACAGGACCTGCATTTGGGATGGTGTTGTTGACGATGCTGATGTATGTAAGTGCCTATCTGTGTATATATGTAAATGTATGTGTGTCTGTATGTACACATGTATGTATGTATATTATATATATATATACATATATATATATATATATATTCATTAATGTGTATATGTATGTATACACAGGTATGTGCGCAAATGTGTTCTAAACATAAACGGCATCATATATCTGTTTGTATGTACATAATCATAATTGCAATTATCTATTGCCGTGTTTACGCATCTACTTGTTTATGCGCACGCGTGCGATGTATGATTAGCAGGAGTGAGATCGCGGGAGTGATGTCAGGATGAAGGTCCACCGCGTGCCCGAAATACGTTGACAACATGACACTGTAAATATAAGTGGAAGCTTAGGTTTTGAGGTTTAGGGCTAAGGGAGAGCACACAAGCTGCAGAAAATGTCACGCCCGAGCGCAAGATCTACACGGGTTATATAGACGTTTGAAAGGTCCGAGGACCTAGTAATCAATTTGGTACTCGGGTTTGGATAGTCAGCTTGTAGGTTGACCCTAAACCCTAAACCCTAAACCCTAAACGGTTAGGATTTGGGACAGTGCATGAGTGATTGTTAGGTACTGGGACCCTTTGGCTAAAGCGCTCTTGTCCCAAGTTCCGAAGCCCTAAAACCCAAAACCCTAAATGGGGATCCAAAGACGTACGTATTGTTTTTAAGCGGTTGAGGAAGTATAGGGCTTAGGGGTTAGCGGCTAGACGACACATTTAGTGCATCATGACCTGCTATGTTGTAATTTTGGGCCTACAGGTACAGATCAGATCCCTTGTAGACGGGAAACCATCAAGCGACCCCAATTTAAGGGTTCCTGTCCTGAACCCTAAACCCTAAACCCTAAACCCTAAACCCTAAACCCTAAACCCTTAAACCCTAAACTCTGAACCTTTGAGGAATCCTATAGTTTATAGGAGGTAGGATTACGGGAACCCGTGTGGGGATATAGACCCTCTGAGTCAGGTTTTTCCTTGATAGCACCGGAAGAGGGTTGAGCAAAGGTCCCTCTGAAGGGTGTCCCTAATCATAATCCCACCTGGGAAATTAAGGAACCCCAAACCCTAAACCCTCAACCCTAAAACCCCATCTTCCCCTGGGCGAAGCGCGGCGGATGCGCACGTTTCCACCAATCCCCGGGCCTGGAAGGGCTTCAAAAGTTTAGGGTGTAGGGTAACTTAGGGTTGTTTTGGGTCATACTGTTGATGATTCAAAGCCTGCAGTACCTTAAGGACCCTAAACTATGGGAATGACGGTATATTCCGATTCCTTATTATGAGTAATGCAGGATTTATATCATCAACGGTATGATAGTACAATAAGGGAGCCCTACAGATACAGAATAGTATTACTTGATGGTTGAGGCTTGTGTACATATTATCATATTACTTTTCTACTTCTCAAGGCGAACTTCACCAGGGTACTACACGTAAACTTGATGAGTAAGGTCCCTACAAAGTGAGCGTTGCATAGCAGGAGGTGCCTTAATGTGACTTCCTGTAACCCTTATGGTCATCGTTAGCCCAAGGTCTGCAAACTCATCTTTAAGTCTTTTGGTCACTCAGAACCGATTTAACACCACATAGAAACATGATGAACACATAGGTGGTTTTGGGGGTGTTCATTTTCCCAGCCTGCTCTGCTATCTCGTCCGTGCTGTGGTAGAAAGGGTACCTGCTGAATGCCACAGGGCAGAGTTTGGGGTTCCGGGGTTTAGATGGGCTTAGGTTGGGTACTGCCCTTCACCCTGTAACAGTCTATATTATAGGGGTCATATTAAGCGCGATTGTGCTATAAATACCATCTAAATGTTGCAGAGCGGGGGCAGTATCTAAGGTTTAAACCCTCAATCCTAAACCCTAAACCCTAAGCCTATAAGCCCTTAGGCTTCCATACGGCCTTTTTAGTCTTACGGGCTCAGTGTTGGGAGCCGCAGTGGCAAAGCTTCCAATCAGACGTGCCTCACGCCAACCCAGGGCTTCAGGGCTTCAGGGCTTCAGGGTTTAAGGGTTTAGGGTTTAGGGTTCACAAATTGCACCCCGCAACTCGAAGCCATGTGGCGTGAAGCCCCGAAACCTGAACCCTTAGGCCCTATAGGCCTAAACTCTAAATCTCTAAACCCTCGCTGAACTCAACTCACAAGGTGCGGCCTGTAGAACGTGCTCAAACAGAAGAGCATACCATATTTGTAGCAGCATCGAAAACATCGTCCATTTAGGGTCTAGAGTCGCGTACAGAGTATAACATACTCGAGCTTCTACCTTGCAAACCGAGAACGGGGAGAAAGAAAGATATTAAGGGAGAGAGAGGGGAGACGGAGCAAGCGAAGGATTGAAGGGAACGGTGGTTTGAAGAGCTAGTCCGACACAAGTTCCTTTTTTGGCGGGAGGGGGTGGGTGCCCCCTACCTTAACCCCAAGAAACCTACTTTTTAATTTTTAAGAACTTCTATAAAGAACTCATAATAAGGAACCCTAAAAAGGCAGGTT